TTTAATAAGGGATTATATATTTATGTTTGATAGATATGTGGTAGTGAAAAAACGGATACATATTTCTATATAACATATTAATTTTATCAATCAATGTGATATGGTATGATATTCAATTTTATCAATCAATGTGATCGACCTGACCTGGACCGGAATACTGTAGGTCGACCAAATTGACTATACCAAAGCTCTTTCCAAAACCGTGACGCGATCAGTCGGCCTAACAACCTACTAGACCGAATGACTTGTAAATTGGACCAGCATAACAAGTAATTAACTATATATGTAATCCATACGGGTAAAAGATGTATGTGCAAATGATTCACACATCATAACAAGTAATTAACTATATATGTAATCCATACGGGTAAAAGATGTATGTGAAAAGGATTCACACAGCAGATCATATTATTATCACTACTCAATTGTTATCTGAATACTTCTGCAATATTATCTTTCTAAATTTGAATATTAACTTGACCATCGGAGAACTCTACTCTAGGAACATTACTACTGCTTTTTCAGGTAATCCGGTGAACTAGTCATGTCGACCCGGAGTCAGGAAGAAGATCAAGGACCCCAAACCAGAGTAATTTGAAAAATACTGTATCAAATTAGCATTGTTTGTGGGACTCCAGCTTGACCAAGGTTGAGACAACAATGTTTCTCACGTACTTTCCAAAAAAAAAAAAGAAAAAAAAAACCCGACGACATCGATGGAAGATAAGGATGGAGTTCGCAGAGAAAGTGGTGGTGACGATACTTGGCTGCACATTCAACCTATGTGGGCATGATCACCCTTGGGATGGCTCACTCACGGAGAATCACCAAGGACTCCAATTAACAAAGCTCGGCGCCCGTAGTGGATGTCCGAAAGAGCTCCGCTCGAGCTTGTTGTAAATATTTTTCCGGAGTAGAATCTAAAGATTCGAACACCGGGTCGTGTCTCACGAGGAAGGTTAGCCGGAATATTCTATACGTTTATTCAAACAAAAAGGGAAACAAAATTCCTAAACATTCTAATTCAGATGGTTTGATTTGGATTCAATTATCAACTATTGCGAAAGTTCAAATTAAGCAATAAAGAAAGCAAGTAACGAAGAACAATTAGGATATGAGAAGCTAGGGAGTCGGGGAGATCCGTTTTGGTTCGAATTGCAATTAATGGGCAGGTGATTGTTCAGCTAAGTGATTTGAATAATCAACACGCTCGAGTACTCATTCTCAATAACTTTTCGTAACAAGAGAACAAACTAGAACGGCAAATTAACAATTCATTTAACTCCTAGGCAATACAGTTACGAACAAGCCTAGTTCATACGAGCCTATTTCGACCGACTCCTCCCCTTTCAGTTCTGAGAGTCGATTAAAGTAGACTAGAGGGTGATTAACCGACTAATCAATTAGATTCCCAATTTCAAGCACGAATAAATCAAATTCAATTGAAACAATTGTAAGTTGAAGTGTCACCCTTCAACAATTATCAATACTCAAGCCTGATAATTGAACAACCATAATAAAAGATTAACTCGCATGGAAAGAACAATCAACGAATGCCCACAATCACAAACGATTTCAAAACATCAATCCCCTATCCCTAGCATATGAATTTAGCCACTCATCATCAATTCAACATCAACATCAATATCAATCAAAGCCATCATCAACACAGATAAAATGAAATAGAAAGTTTACAATTAAATATGAATTCAATGTCGAAAGAACAACGAACAATCCAAATCCACGAGTCAAATCTTGGTGTTTTCACAATCCAAGATCAATTCCAAGTGAAAGATAAGAGAAAACTGAGTTCTGGGGTGAAAAAGTACGAGAGCCAACTCAAAACCTAAGTGGAACGTCCCCCAAAACTGATCAAAATCGCGAAATAAAAATCCTGCTGTCGCGACCTCCGCGGCCGCGACTTCCTCCTCCGCGGCCGCGGGATTTTCATTGCTGAAATTTGGGACCTGGCAGTTTTTCTTCGCCGCGGCCGCGGAGACCAAAATCTGCACTGCACCATCTTACGATTTTTGCTCGTTCGGGTTCGTTTTAACTCAGTTTTGAGTTCTGTTTTTTTTACGTGTCGCTAACGAACCCCTCTATCTAATGGTGTCAGCTTCCCCACAAGATTCTCGAAAACCTGTTCTCCCGAGGTCTTCAAACTACACACCAAAAACGAAAAGAGAACAGAAAAAGACCGGAAAACAACCGGAAAACATCGCAACACTCAAATGAACGCAAAACACATAATAAATGACAAAATGATCCTAAAACCATCTAAATGACTCAATATGAGGGACAAAATAACAACGAAAAACGCAACAAAAATGGAACAAACAGAGCTGATATAAGAAGGCGGATTGGTGGACCCGAGAAGATCGATCCTAGGACTACAACCACACCCAGAAGGTGTTTAAGGGAGCGATGGGACTTGTGCCTCACTGATCATAAAGTTAGATGAATCAATTCCAGACGATTAATTCTCTTGACATGCTATCAGAGAATATCTTCGTCTCTTAATTTTTCTCTTTTTCATTACGAAAAAAAAAATTACGAAGAACATAAATATTTCTTTCTCATTCGTACTCCTCCCCATCATGTCTTCATCTTCTTCTACTGATGACGACAATGCAATCGTTGTCTGTAAAACTATCTTTCCCTGTAATATCTCCTCGTCTCACAATATCGGGCTTCAAATTACTCACGTCAAATTGAAGGGTGATACTAACTACGATGAATGGTCTCGTAGTCCGCGCACGACATTACGAGCACGTAAGAAATTTAGCTTTCTCAACAAATCCCTTTCTCGCCCGGTTGACGATGATGAAATTTTTGATGATTGGATCGCCAATAATTCTCTTTTGGTCTCTTTTATATATAGTAAAATATTAAAAATAATATTTTTTATACAATTCGGTCTGTTCTATTAATTTATTTCAATAAATAAATCTATAATCGAACCAAAATAACCGAAATTGTAATATATTCGAAAACTTCACACTAGCATAATAACGTCATTTTTTTTTTTTTGCTAATGTGCATGATCGAACACATTAATGTGTATTTTGTCTAATACTATTGTGGAGTCTGAAACTGTAATCTGCAGTACCAGATTTTTTTACGTGCAACTACAAACTAAAACCGAATTGAAATATTTGGGTTTTTCAGTTGGTTAACCGAATTAATCTAAATAATAGATCTAATTTATAAAAATATATTTCGTGTTGTAATTTTTCTTATTTTAAAATTTATATTATTTTTGCTGAAATATATATAAAATATAAATAATATAATATTTTTATATATTTTGGTCGATCCAGTTGTTTCGATTATTATAAAAATAAAGTTGAAATCATACCGAAAAACCATAATTTTAAAAGTAAAATTCGAACTACCTATTTATCAGATTGTTTGGACAAATTTGTCCATCAAGTAAAACGGGTACTTTTTACGTGCATTTAAATTTTAAAAAATCTTAATAATGTTTATTTCAATTAACATTATTGTGCAGTCTGACATTCAATAGCGTGCATCTTGAATAACCTTATTGTGCATTCTACAATACGAGTGATTATTATGTGCAAATCGAAGGATGATAGTGTGCATTGCATTGAATATTATTGTGTAAATATAATTTTTTATCAATTTACAAATTTAACCCATGCACTTATTTGCAATAGGTGGAATTTTTTAATTTATATATAAGTCCCTTGGACTTATCTAATTCACAAAAAAAAGGCCCTAGATCTAAACTTTCAATTCAGAAATTATTGTTCTCCTCTCTAGACTGTCATTTTCATTCTTGTCATCTGCCCTGCCCACGACACCCCACCTATTTCGGCACGCAACTCCTCAGTCAGACCGACCCCTAGATCCCGTCGGAACACACCCCGTCATTTGGAACGGATCCGTCCGTCAGGGAGGAGAGGAGGCGGGCAGCGCCGAGAACCTGTTGCTACCGACGTGGAAGAGGGAGAGG